TGATAGTTCTTCTGCACACGTACATAGTGGACTAATGCGTTAATACCCTAAATTCAGACGGAGATGGCTGCTGGGTAGGTTGACCTTTCACAAGCAGATAAACTCCTAAAATCAACGAGGACCTCGTCATGTCGTTAGCGTGTGTAGAAGAAAAGCCCGTCTAACGCTTACTATGCCCTGCCTTCATTCGCACCCGGCAAAGTAACGCCTTTGGCCTGTCACGGCCAAGTAAACGCCCAGTCAGGCCACATGTGCAAAATGCACCTCAAGAGCGCATGCATCCTCCGGGACCTGTCCCTGCAGTCGGGGGATGGGGATGGGGAAACACACTTACGACTACAACGGAGAGGGTGCCTGGCTTGGGTTTAAAAATGGATGTGGTTGTGCTTTGCTGCAACTGGCTGTTATCCTGTTCCACTTCCAGGCAGCTTGACCTTCTGATACTAGGCAGCATATTCACAAGAAAGAGATAAGTGCTCCCGCCGACATTACCTGGCCTGAGTAAAATGTGTTGCCCGATCGCAACTCTCAATGAAAATTAGGCGCCCTCCGGAAATCAACGTCGAAAGTAAGAAAATTGGTCGGTGGACAGGAATATCCACTGAGAAGACTAGTAACGCCCTTTGACTAATTTAATTCTTATAAAGGTCTAGGTGCAAAGTTTCTGATGAGGTGTCTCCTGTAGATCCGTAAGCAGACATTCTAACTCGAGCTGTGAACTAATTCAGATTATTTACCAACAATCCCGATCGCACCCTAGTTTATCATTATGTGAGTAGGGGCAATAGTAGTCCATTCCTAGTGAACCTAGAGGATCATTATTGTCTATGGAGTGTCGCAGTAGACTTTCAAAGCAGATACCTCCCCCTAATTTTTTTCGAATCCTCTGTCAGCTTACAGTCAGGAGATGAGATGCAAGACTAAATAATCCGCCAGGACGTGTCATGTGGCTCCTAACTGAACACCTGCTAAACTTCGTTGAGGGGTTTTCAATCATCCATAAGTGGAAGTGTCGCAAAAGGCCACCTTAACAGGGTGCCATGGCAGCCTGGCCCTTAGTACTTAGAAATACAGAGTTATCCTCCCAATTTGCAGTATTCTGAGCGAAGACTACTGAAACGTCGTGGTAGTTGAAAAACACATTTGGGCGTTTTTTGAGGAGGTTAAACGCTGCATTCGAACTGAATAGCCATATGTTCCCTAGATCGAAACAAAGACAATTCTGTATTAGAGCAAGTGAATACTAGCATGGACGCAGTGATGGCCGTTACGTAAAACCTCATTCTATTGCATGATATATGCATGTACGTACGAGGGTATGGATGCGCTCAGTCTTCGAGCAGCCCGACCAAAACACGCTATGAACACCAAACAGGGTGGTACTCGCGAGTACATTTTAAACAAGGAGATAGGTGTAACTAGCCAGGATAGGTTATACGTCCGGTAATGCTTGTTTACCAAAAAGGTATAACCTCCAAACTCTCGTATTTTCCCCCAGACATTGAATTTTTTTCGATTACATGACCTCGGAAGCTTTTTTTCCTTAAGCCATACAAATTCCATACCGCAATAAGTAGCGTTGTCAGGAGGGTAAGATGCTTTAAACTGCGTTAGCTCGTTTTAACAAGTTAATGTGACGACCGCTAGCACACCTGACGTATGAAGATGAAAGGCACAACGAATAAGTGTAATGCCCTGGCACCACCCGCGTGCCGAACCGAAAAAGCGTAAACACGTGTCGAGACGCCGCACTGATGAAAGTCGAAGATTAGCAAGCGCTAACAAAAGCGATGGGCTCTCTTTAAAAACGCATTATCTTGTGGGTGACCATGAAACGCAGCTTCGAGCGGATCTTAACCCTGGCTTCCTAGTACAGTAGTCGCGGGTTATAAAGCCCACGGTTAATAGGCCCAGCCGCATATTAAGCCCACATCAGCTTGGGACGGAATTTTACATAGCA